AAGAACACCTTGCATTTACTAAGCAAAAGCAGTGTTCTCTTAATGGCACAGGACAGACGCTGGCAGCAATCGCTGTAGTAGCCCTGCCTACTCAAGCAATTTCCAGCTTCCATAGAGATCCCACAGGTAAATCACATGCATACTCAATGGTCAAAGCTTGATCAATGTGTAACAATGCAAAAAAGCCGTACCTATCCCTCTGCTTTAAGTGGCCTCATAAATAGTCGATACTATATAAAATGTATGTAATAAGTTGCAGCAGTGTTTATAAGTCAAGCTTTATGGTGTTTACACATCCTGATTCTATCTCAACTGTGCATTATTGTAGAAATCCCAGAGCACAGAATGAAAGAAGAACCTTGACACGGTGATCTGAATACAATATACACTGTAGAGAAAAAGGCATCAGGGGCAATGCGCACAGAGTATGGCCAGCTGTCATTTCAAGTCCTTGTTACTAGTAAATCATTACCAAGGTTCAGAGGACTTGTGCAGATAAGCAATGTACTCTGCCAAGGATTGTAAAGGCCATGGAAAAAAAAAAAAAAAAAATTTCATGACATGATCAGTGATGTATTTAAAGGTTCACTGTATAGTGAATTACCAACTACACTTACTGTAGCGTGCAGAAAAAAAAGTGTGATATTTGGTAACATGATTAATGTGACGTCACTTCGGGCTCCACAATCATGAAATTCTCAGCAATACCTCTTCCAGGCTGAATAGAAGATTGTAGATTGCTAAGTGCGTGGCACTAATCCATGCTTTCATGTTTACGCCAAATTCTAACCCTACCATCTGAATGTCGCAGCTGAAATCGAGACTCATCAGTCCAGGCAACGTTTTCTAATTTTCTATTGTCCAATTTTGGTGATCTTGTGTGTATTGTAGCCTTCGTTTCCCTTTCTTAGCTGACAGGTTTGGCAACCGAGGAGGTCTTCTGCTGCTGTAGCCCATCTGCTTCAAGGTTATTACTATTATTATACAGTATTTATATAGCGCCAGTTTGCTCAGCGCTGTACATTATAATGGGAGACAGTACAGTAACAATACAATATACAAGGGGTTTGAGGGCCCTGCTCCTTGGAGCTTACAATCTAGGAGGGAGGGGAGAGTGGTACAGGAGGAAATAGCTGTGGGGGATGGAGTGGTGGGAGGAGCAGAGGAGATCAGCAATTAGGTGAGGGCGGGGTAGGCTTCTCTGAAGAGATGGGTTTTCAGGGTGCGCCTGAAGGTGAGGAGGGAAGGTGACAGTCTGATGGATTGGGGTAGTGAGTTCCAGAGTATGAGGGAAGCCCTGGAGAAGTCCTGGAGACGGGCATTGGAGGAGGAGACCAGGGAACTGGAGAGTAGGAGGTCTTGTGAGGGAGCGGAGAGTACCTTTTGGGTGGTAGATGGATATCAGGTCGGTGATGTAGATTGGGGCAGTGTTATGAACAGCTTTGTACGTCAATGTTAATATTTTGAATTTTATGCGTTGGGCAATGGGAAGCCAGTGGAGGCAATGACAGAGGGGGGGTGGCGGATACGGAGCGGTTGGTAAGGTGGATGAGTCTGGCCGCAGAATTCAGGATAGACTGAAGCGAGGATAGCCTGTGTTGGGGTAGGCCGGCGAGGAGGGAAGTTCAATGTGTTGTGCATTCAGAGATGGTATTCTGCATACCTTAGTTGTAACTAGTAATTTTTTGAGTTTCTATCATCTCGAACTAGTCTGCCCATTCTCCTCTGACATCCTCTGAGGCATTTTCATCCACACAAAACTGCCACTCACTGGATATTGTCTCTTTTTCAGACCATTCTCTGTAAACCCTAGAGATGGTTGTGTATCTCCTGCAAACAACATTCCACAATGCTCTGGAGGTGGACTGACCCTTGGTGTCATCACATCCAATGCATGGCCATGGACCCTGCATCAGTTTTGATGATGCCAGGACCTCAGACTGCTGAAGCTTGGGGGAGAAGATGCTGAGGAAAGTCTAGCAGCAGCGGAGGATCAGGTACGCAAGTCAACTTTTCCTTGCTACAAAAGAAGCAAAAAACCCTTGCAGTGCCAGTGCAGCCCCACTGCAAAGAAAACTTTTCAAGATTCCTGGAGTTCAGCTTTAAAGTTATATTGAAGGCAGGTTTTTTTTTTTTTTTTTTTTTTTTTAAATAACAAAACATGTCTATACTTACCTGCTCTGTGCAGTGTTTTTGAACAGAGCAGCCCCGATCCTCCACTTCTCGGGTCTCCTACTGGAACTCCTGGCCCCTCCCTCCTGCCTAGTGCTTGCTCCAGAGCTGCTGCTCCATTTACATACAGAGTGCTGCTCAGCCACGCCCCCACTCTCTCATTAGCACACTGGCTATGATTGACAGTAGCGGGAGACAATGGCTACCGCTGCTGTTTCAGCCAATTAGGAGGGAGAGAACCAGGAGAGCCAAGGCTCTTGTGCACATTGCTGGATAGTGATGGGGCTCATGTACGTTTTGAGGGTGGGAGCTGCATGCATGAAGGTAAAAAAACCTTGAGCCTTTACAACAACTTTAAGGCCCATACACACCTATGTGTTGTGGTGTGCAGCAATGCACCATAAATGAGTTCATGCATTGTAGTGCCATCCATTTTCAATGCGCCTGCACTGCAGTGCATACCAATACATGGCACATGAAACTGTTTGCTGCGGTGCGCTGCAGTACCAAAAATGCTGCAAGTCTTATAGTCAGTTTGTTGTAGTACATTGACAACCTGAGTGGTTTAGTGGTTAGAACTTCTGCCTTGCATCACTAGGATCCTTAATCTGGCCATACATGGTTCCATACATGGATCAAGTAGCTTTTATCTGACAGAGTGATGATTCAACAGAAGCTGATCAAAACTTCTGTTCAACTGCTGTGGCCACACATGGATCAAAATTCAGCAGGTCCCTGCTGAACAACCCAAATTTCAATCCATCTAAGGCCACTTCTAAGTTTGAATCCCAAACAAGATTGTACCTGCGCGGGGAATGCATATTTTCCCTGTCCATGTGTAGGTTTCCTCTGGGCACTCCACAATTTCCTCCAAAAACTTGCGATAGCTTAATTGGCTTCTCTCTAAACGGTCTCTAGTGTGCATGCATGCGAGAAAGAGATCTTAGATTGTAAGCTCCTTGAGGGCAGGGACTGACTGTACAGCATGTGAAATGCTATGCGAGTTGTTGGCACTATAAAATACTCTTATAATAACATGGCTATGTTCATCCAATTGCAACAGACTGGCTTGGAGTGAATAAAAAATCTGAACAGTCGTTAAAATGCAGCTCTTAACAGCTAAATACACAAGTGATCCGCTTTACAGCCCTTTCACACGGATCTTTCTGAAAAACTGACAGGGAGACCTGATCGGAAGCTCCACACAGCTCTATGGGCGCTGATAGAAGGGCTTGTCCATAGCATGATGCAGAGTTTTTCATGCGTTCTGCAGGGGCACAACTATATCAATTGTTCTCTATGTGCCCTGTTCACATCACAACACTAGTATCATGTGCAAATTTTATGTATAAAACTCATTGGAGTGCATGAAAACTGATGTCATTGTCAGTGAAATCTGAGCATCAGTTTTTCTGCACGTATGGTGTGAACGAGGCCTAAAGATTTAAAATGGACTTGTGTCTGTTTACACCCTTTTACCTCGGAGTCCCTCCAGTTCTAGGGGGGGGGGGGGGGGAACACAAAAGGACTGGCCTTTTCTGCTTTTCTGGACCTAGACATGATAGATTGGCGGTAGCCTGATGTAAATGAACGCAACAATGGTCTATTTACATCCGGCCGCTTATAGAGCTATCACAGGTCCACTGGCCACATAATGAACGGGTGAAGACGTGAAAAAAAAAAAAAAAAATGAGATTCACCCTATTCAGCTCTGATTCAGAGAGGAATCCACTCACAGATCCCCTGCTGAATGAAATGAAAGGGCTCCATTTGAAAAGAGCCCTAAGATATCCACACATTACAACTGGAGGTACAATATGCTCACTTTAAACATAAATGTGCAGATATCCAAACATATGAGTATACATACAAAAGATCCAAAATATAAAATCTGGATAATTCAGTATTAAACCGTGATAGGGTATGTTGCAAAATAATTAATTAGATCCAGCCACAGTCAGCGTTTCATTAGGATTGCAAGATATCTTTCTAACTAAAAGGGTTGTAGTACAAATATTCATGACTACATCATATAATAGTTCGGGAAAGGGGGCAGAGATCTCTCTATAGACTTACCCGGCACTGGCCTATCTCAGACCAAACCAGCAAACAGATGGGCAACATCCAACCACTCAAATGACTCCCTGAATAGGCTAGGCAAGGGCTGTCTGCCATGGTCCGATAACGCCTACAGACACAGGGGTGTTCCCTGATCTGACCTTAAATGGCCTGCTGATAATGCAGAATTAACCTTAAAAGCTGTCTAAAAGGTAAAATTATAATGGATTTTAGTTGCTTTTTATTTCTTTTAAAGAAATGTTTTTTTAAATTGTAGTTTTGAACAATTTTTACAGCATATTCATACAATCTCTGTTTTGCAAATAAACATATAATACATGCCAAAAAGGATCCCCAAAGCACTATGTGTTAGCTAAAGAGAGGGCACAGTTAAATGCTGCTTGCTTTTCAGCTCCCTTTGTGTGAATAAAACATCCAACTAACTGAAAAGGTATAAATCACTGTTGTGATGACTCAAGGTTAGTAAAAAAATGTTTTTTTTCCCCCAGACGTTTATGCCTAAAGATACAATGCCAAATATTAAAAGCAGAACAGTGTGCCACATGCAGCTTTTTAAAGTTTTAGCCCCGGTTCACATATATGCAGCCATGCGGGCCGTGTTTTGCGTGGGCATAAGAGCTCATTCATTTGAATGGACTCCCGTGCCACGCAGGGAAGAAGTCCCTGCACTTCTTATGAAAACGCAGCCCGCACGGGAACTTCGGTTCCCAGTACGGTTGCGTTTTCCAGTGCAGTCGGCGTGCACCCACCTGTGTGTCCACATTTCTCTGTGCGGCTGCACAGATTTTTCGCACTGATCAGCAGCGGCACCACCAGCACATATGTGAACCTAGCCTAACCAAATGTGCCCTCATTAGGGAGATTCACCATATTTGTCCTGTTTACCATTATCATTGAAAAGTGAAATTTTGGGTTGTCCCCAGAAAAGTAAGAGAAGAAACTTTCCGATGTGGACCCTGGTTCTGGTGACCAAGGAATTCCCTTAAATTTTAGAGATTACCTCTCACTTGATGTTTGGCTATGAAACAGGAAGTGAAGGAAAATCTCTGAAATAGGACACAGTTGGTGAAAAAGAAAATCTGACAGCGGTTATAAAAACCTCCCTTGCGCTCTACAAAATGAAAAAAAAAAAAAAAAAAAAAAATGTTTTGGCTATAGTTCTACCTTATGGCAGGCCATACATTATGTATTTTTTTTTGGTCAACCAGTGGGTTGAATGGAAAACAAAATGTGCCAATTCCCCATTCACACACTTGAGGTGGATGGAGGAAAATCACTCTCGCTGTGCTACTGTGTTCTGATAGCAGGGAGCTTTCCCTGCCATCAGAACACAAATATCAGCACTGCAGGCTATAGCCAGCAGCACTGATCGCTCGGAAAAAAAAAAAAAAAAAAAAACAGACAGGACAGCTGTACAGAAGTTGATTGACAGATCGACTTCTGTTCAACCAGGGTGCCCATCCATGGATCAAAATTTGGCTGGTTCCTGCTAAACTGGCAAAATTTCGATCTATTTATGGCCGGCTTAAGAGATCACAAAATACTGATATTCAGTATTGCATATTTACCGGACAAAAAAAAAAAAAAAAATATCCCATGCAAGCATTTGGAATCAGCATGTATGAGAGGGTCCAAGTTCAATCTTCAAAACTTCACTTTTTAATTGGCATTTGGCAGTGTACTTTGGATGGATATGTGATCATTTTGAAAAGTACTTAGGCACTGCAAAGGTTTTGACAGTTGAACATGGTGGTACATGCTGGTCCCATTGGTGAGGTTAGAAAAAAATGGTGCACACAACTCCTTTCCCAGCTGTTCAGTCCACAAATTAACTGGCCGATCACATTCTATTTAGGTGATTCAGCATTGTACATGCATGGCCAATATTCTCTAATTATACATGTACAAAAACCAGAGATGAACATTTTGCCTATACATTTCTTTTGGTTTTTCTGCAGACTCTAGAAGACGTGTTCCTAAAATTAGTCTGGTTCTAGTCTGAAAAGCACTTCCTTGGCGATTACTTGCTCCAGCAGAAAGAACCACCGCAAATGCCTTCCAGATATAGAAACATAGAAAAGTGACAGCAGAAACAGATCGAGTGGTCCATCAAGACTGCTTTTTTTGTTTTGTGGTTTTTATGGGGGGGGGGAGGTTTCTGTTTTTTGTTTTTTTTTTTTTTCACTTTTTGTCCGAGTATAGATCTATGCTTGTCCCAAGCATGTTTGAAGCCATTTACTGTTGGACCAGCTCACTACCTCTGTTGGAAGTTCATTCCAGATGCCCTTCATCCACACATACTGTGTGCCTGAGTGGCCATGTTGGGGAGGATGTACACTTCCAATAAGGAGCTTGTATAGGGTTTGACTTCCATAGGAGTAGCAGGGAAGGTGAATATAGGTGGGTAGGAGTGTTATTTTTCAAGAAAACAAGAACTACTGCAAATGTATCAGTTACAAATTTTGAGAGAAACCATTTACCACTGACAGGGATGCTTACAATGATCAGCTTTTATTTGTGTAAAACCTTTAGGGTCCATTCACATTAAGAACTGCACGTGATATCATACAGGAACACTGTGCTGTTCATGTGCAATTCAAATGCAATTCTGTGCAGTGCGATTTCAGCCTTATTTGTTTTTGAGTTTGCACTACTTTTTAAAACACAAGACAACCGCACAAAAGTACCATGTGGTCAACTGCACTGTGTTTGAGTTATTGTTAAATTTGTACTGACCCCCACAGCAGATCGCAAGGGCAATGCAATTCAAATGCGGTATGGGAAGCCCACACTACGTTTTAGTGTAAACGGGCCCTTATCCCAAAAGAAAAAAAAAAAAAAAAAAACAGCTCACAAGCGCAGTGTGAGCTGGAGTTTGGTTTCAATTTGTTAGTGTATCTAAATCTGCTAGTCCATCTAACACTCCCCACAGACTGGGAGTGCTGCTGTATCCTGTACCCCCTGTGCTCCTTTATCCAGAGTGGAAACACTAATTCAGGAGGTGTGTTACTGGCTTAGATAACCAGGTACAAAGAGAGGAGGGAAAAAAAGCCCCTTTCACACGGACGTTCCGATTGGGTCCACCTGCCTGTTTTTCAGGCGGACCAGATCGAACCTCTATCTTCCTCTATGGAGTGACAGGTGTGAACAGACGTGTCCGTTTACATCCGCCAACATCCAATCCGATCCGCTAAAAAGGAGGTGGATGGGGATCCATTCCCCTACCTACCATCTATCGGATGGCAGTTGGATGGAAACAGACAGGCAGTCCATTTCCATCCGACCATCCATAGAGGACAGCGTGCTGTGTCCGCTCTGCAGCAGAGGAGCGGACATGGACCTGTCATCCGCTTGCTCAGTGGGGATCAGTGGAGAGATTCCCTGCTGAGGAAGCAGATGCGCTGATGGGTCCGTCCAGTGTGAAAAGAGCCTAAGAAAAGAAAACTAATGCAGCCATAACATCGAAGGGTCTTTTCACACGGGCGTTCTGTTTTTTCATCAGTTCAGTCACGGCTTTTCCAAGCAAAAACCGGATCAGTTCACATCTGGTTTTCATCAGTTCACATCCGGTTTTCATCAGTTCACATCCGGTTTTTACATCCAATGCAAAAACGGAACGTATATCCGTTTACATCCTTTTGTTTTGGTTTTTTTTTTTTAAATGGAAGAAAAATAGCGGTTTCTTCCATTCAAAAAAAGGATGTTAATGGATACAGACATTAACGGATGTAAACAGATAAATCATCCGTTTACATCCGCTAGTCCACAGAAATACACGGGTGTCCATTTTTCATCCGTAAACGGACAGATGACAAACAGACATATGGAACGCCCGTGTGAAAGAGCCCTAAGGATTGTTAAACTGTAATCTATTATATTTCTGGTATTGTGTTTAATACTGCTTTAAATCAAATGCCTAGGAGTATGCAGCAGCCTCAGTACCATCACAAGCAAAAGTCGCTCTCCACACACCTAAGGAATCCACAGATTCCCGGTAAAGAACCTGTCTATGATGGAGCAGCCATTGACATCTGCAGATTATATACCTCTCCTAGGCACTAAGCTCTTCGGAGTTTCATTGGTCCCAGCAGATTGCGGGAAGTTGGTGGAAGGATTCCCCGAGTCCTGCTCACCTCGTTATCCTGCAAGGCAGACCTTTATGAAGGAAGGCCAGCGTGTGTACTGCTATGAACGATGAGAGGAGAAGGAAACAAAGCAGGGCAGCCAATCATCTCATCCAGGAGACGGCACTTCGCACCAAATTATAGGAGGTATAAAAAGGAGGACCAGCAATTTCCAACCTACTTTCTGGCAAGTAAACTGTGTGCTGTAGATCCTAGTCAATGAGATTTACTTAGAGCTAGCGACTGAACATTAAACCCTCCTCCAACAGTTAGAACGTTGAATTTGTAGTAGGGTCCAGTCCAGCATTAGCCATCAGTTAATGTAGAAAGTTTGGATTTAAAGTGATACCCCTCCATGGCTGAACTCCAGTCCTGCACAGTTGTACCGGCTCCTCTCCTAAACTAACATTTCTTCTTTGGATTTCACTGCATACTGTGAGCTTCCCACAGTGTTCATTAGAAGCTGCAGCATTTCCTGGTTGGAGAACATCCAGCATCCTCTAGCTCTTTCATCCTCAGCCTGACTGTCCCTGTCCTGCCCCTTTCGCTCAGTACATTTCAGTTCATTCCATCATTAAGGCGCTGCGTGCCAAGTAGGTATTACCTAGGGTTGTTTGCATGGAAATTCAGTCTGCCTGAGAACACCCACTCCTCCAGACTGACCTCCATCCATGAAAGCATTTTGATTTTTGCATAACTCCTCCCAATAGCCAGCCCACTGCATGCATCAGGGCTGAGCGCTATTAGAAGGGAGTACTGACAGGCAGGATGCTGTGATGTTTTAAAAAAAAAAATAAAAATTATGTACAGAACCCTGCCAGCCCCCTCCCACCATCCATGATCTGCATGCATTGCATAGAGAAGCACAGATGCCTAGTGATTACATGATTATGCCTAAAAAAAAAAAAATGTGTTCAATGAAATTGGAAAGGTTTTATTTAATAAATTATTTAGCATGTTGATGAGGGGTAGATGAGGAATCAAGGAATTCAAAACAGAAGCAGATTAAATTTCAGCTTTAAAGATTATGTAGCATGCAACATGATATACCAGTGTGAGAAAGCGAATGATTATACTTTCTGTATGGACTGCCTATATCACACCACCACAAACTCTAATGGTCGGAGAGCCAGGGGGCCCTCTATTAAGCAAATAACCCAATACTCTGAACATACCAGTGGTCTAGTATATTGTCATTTACATACCAAAGGATTTGCACACTGTTGCTACCATATGGACAAGCCTTTGCTGCTTTATGTGAAACAAGTACAAGGTCCAACAGGACTAATGTTTCACATGAGGTCTATTACTGTGACTCAATCATCCTAAAAAGGGGAAACAAGTGTAACAGATATGAAAATGGAAACAAAGGAGATTTAGGGCTCATTCACACTAGGAACTGCATTGGTATTTGCCACAGGCTGTACGGTTCCTGTGCGATTCATATGCAGTTCTGTGCAGTGAGATTCCTGCCCATTCATTTTGAATGGGTTGAAATTGCACCTCACTAAAAGTAGTGCATGCACTACTTTTGGAAACGCGGTACAACCAGATTGCATCACACTTTTGAACCACAGGCAGGCAAAACGTTGTTTTGTGCAGGCAAATGTACTGTGTTTGCGACCTGCTTTTTGAGTTGTCAATTTTTCACTGACACCCACTGCAGATCGCAAGGGCACTGCGATGGGTCCTTAGGCTCCATTCACATG